CCTCAGATCATGGAGAAGACAGCTGAGTACCCACATGGGTGCTGCCTCCAGGCCTGTGAGGGGGAACAGCCCTGTAACCTGCTTGCTGTGAGTCCCTGGGACGGAACTGAGACTGATTCTATTTTGAGGGGGCCAAGGTGTCACATTTCCTTGTGGAGACTGCAGAGAGGGAAAAGAGACCAGATTCCTTCACCACCCTCCTGTGATCCCAAATGGGGCCTAAATCTAGCATCTGGGGACAGCAAACTGCTCCTTTCAGTGGATCCTGGATCCTGTTATTTTATTCTTGGAAGCCTCCAGTGCTCTTTGTAAGGCCAGTAGGTGACAGAAGCCACACGTATGCCACAGACAAACCTGTCAGGCCCCCCAAACTTCCATCCCCATTCACCCATAGCCTCAAAGTCCTCTAGCTCTGCCCTCCCCTGTCCCTCCCTAAGGCTTCTCAAATTCTTTTTTTCTTTTAATTTATATTGACAGGTGCAGGCACGTGCTGGCTGCCCACCAGCGCCCCCTGCAGATGGCCTATGGAGCTGCATCCCGGCCCAGCGAGACCCTGCTGGACTCTGGCTTTTGCAGACTGGTGGGGTGAGAAAGACGGTGGCGCATGTGCTAAGCTCGGCTTCCTGCCAGGGACTAGTCCAGCTCACACGTGCGCAGGCACCCCCTCTCTGCTGAGCTCACCGTCCTCTTTTTACACCTAGGGAGTCTGAGGCCAAGAAGAGAAAGATGTTCCTCCTGGAGGTGATCACGGTTCTGCTTGTGTTCCTAGCGCAGCTTCTCCCCAGCTGTGCTGTCCTGGCCCCTGGAGCATTTGTGAAGGAGGCTGTGGCGGGTGCCAGCCTCTGGAGAAGTCCAGTGTGTTTCCTTAACCTCTGGAACCCGCTAGGCATGTGTCATGGCTCCCAACCACAGGCACCGGTGCTCCCTGGCTCACTTGGTTTATCTCTGATTCTGGTCCTGCTAAGGGAAACAGAGGGTGTGACACTGGCCTGAGTCCCAAACCCCCGCCAGTTCACGTCCTGGCTGCAAGGCTGAGGGAGGCTGGCAGTCCAGGCACAGCCCCACCCCCACCCCGGGACCAAAACAGTCTCCTCAGTGCCCCCTCCTCCCCTAAGGTCCACCAAGGATGCACCGTGGGCGTGGATGCACACCCACTCTGCCTGTTTCCTTGGAAAGACAGTGCTGCATGCACATACACCAAGTCTTGTCCCAACACCCTCTGGGGACTTCCCTCCAGTTGCAGCCTCCCAACCTAGAGCTACCCCAGCCTCCTTTCCAGAGAGTCATTGGTTATGTCAGGAGCACCGCTGGAGCCACAGGTCTCTACCACCTGGGTTAGCAGGGTAGGTTGGTAGACAGCTTGTGTGTGGTTCATGGGTTTGGGCAGTGTGTGTGTGTGTGTGTGTGTGTGTGTGTGTGCATGAGAGAGAGACAGAGAGACAGAGAGACAGAGACAGAGACAGAGAGACAGAGAGAGAGAGAGAGAGAGAGAGAGAGAGAGAGAGAGAGAGAGAGAGAGAGAGAACACGCTGGTGGTGTCAGTGGGGAGGAAGCTCACTGACTCACGTCCAGCCTCACAACGCCACATCTGAGTTCAGGCCAGAGGAAGAGCCCACGTTTCACCAGCTGTGCCTGGTGTGCTGGACAGGGCGGCGGGGACCCCGCTCAGAGACCAGCTGTCCCCTTGCTTTGCCTTGGAGGTTGCTCTAGGCACCCTGATTCCTCTCCCATGCTTGTCTCACCGCCTGGTGTTTCTGCCTCATTCCCATCACTGCCCCAAAGTCATCCCTGGGATCTTCTGTTCATCCTCAGGGAACTGCCAAGGTGGCTTCCTGGCCTTAGGACCCCAACTTCATCCCCTCTCGGGTCTTTCTCCCAGCTTCCCCCTGCTCCCTGCCAGCCCCTCCATCCTGTGGCTTCTTCCTGCCTCTGCCTCCCCAGACCTTGAGCTCTTCCTGCACCTACCCAGCCCCTTCTCTGTTTTCTGGAAAGTGGGCCATAGTCCGCCACTGCCAGTAGCCTGGTAGCTCCCACAGAGCAGACTCTGGATTTCTTTTTCTGCCCACGGGGTCCTCCTTGAGACCTCAGCAAGTACCCCAGAAGGTACAGTAAGGAACAGAGTAGGATGGTGGGTCACTGGAGATTTTCCAGGCTTCTTGCCGCTGGGCACCTAGCTTCTCTCCGGACTCCACTGCCCATGCTGTGGCATTCCCAGGCTTCTCAGCAGGGTCCAGGGGCACAGCAGGACCTCATCCCCCAACACCTGCTCTGTGGTACCAGGTCTGTGCGAGCTTTTCTCCCCAGCTCGTGCAGCCCATAGCAGGCTGTGATTTGGGGGCTGCCATTAGCCTCTTTACAGCTGGGGAAACTGAAGTCTAGAGGGGCTTGGGGCTTGCCCAGCTCACCCACATGATAAATGCGAGTCCCTTTAGCTGGAGCCCTGCTTCCCACTGTACCCACAATTGGTATCTGATCCTTGGCAGTCTCTGTGCCCCGTTTGCCCTTGGATTTTCGCTGCTCTCTGACTTAAGCTTTTCTCTCTGTTTTGTCTGCCCAAGTTCCTATCCCTTGGGCTAGGTGCACCCCTGGAGTTCACCCCAAAGCAGAATGGGGAAGACCTTGCTTATAGAGGCCTGGGTTTAGTGCACTCTGGAGGACAGAAGGCTTTTCTTTTTTTGTCTTTTTCCTTTTTATCGGTACCGGGGGTCGAACTCATGACTGCCTGCTTGCAAGGCAGGCGCTTATGCCTGCTGAGCTAAATCCCCAGCCCCTTAGAAGGCTTTTCTTTGACCTGACACCAGAAGTTAGACAGAGAGCTGACCTATCCAAGGGACCCTCCCTCCCTTTACATCTTCTGTGACCCACGCTTTCTCTCACACACAGAGACACACACACACCCACACACCACACCAGCTAACTTGCCTTCAGCGCTCACAAAATCCCCGTTGCAAATGAGGATGGAAAAACAGGTAATGGGTGCTGGGAAACGCACTGGGCAGACTCTCCTTGTGGCGCAAACTCTAGTATATGATCCCCGGCTGCAGATAGCATATAATTATTTAGTAATAAATCGCATTCCAACCCTAAGCCAGCTACCCCTGGTTTTTTTCCCTCCCTCCCTTGTCTGTGCCAGACCCACAATGTCTCAGCGTAGGATATGAAATGTGGTTGTGATTTTCATGCCTAACCAAAGCCAAAACTGGATTCCTCCATGCTCACTGGGAGATAAGGACTGACCCAGATTCATGCATGTGGGTGCTCGTGGGGAGGGTGGATGGGCAGCCTTTGCCACGAGGGGCCTTTGAGTAGCTCAACTGGACTGGGGATGGCATGGTGGTCTTCACGATGACGTTGGGGGCATGAGCCTGACAGAATTGGACCTCACAGGTCCCTTGAAGTAAATGTGGCCACGAGATGTCTCTGCCAGTGAAACAGGATCGGTACCCGCCATGTCTAGACATCCATAGGAGCCAACATGTGAGTCCGCTATTGCCTTTCTTTGTCTCAGTGATGCCCAATGAGGTTGATATGGTGCTCCCTGCAGTCTTCCAGTAAGGACCCAGGGCGCCAACTCCTCCAGGTCATCTGCAGCGCTCCTGTGGTACAGAGAACTCTGAGCTGTTTTCAACCGCAAGAAAATGTCAGGATTGTTTGTTTTTTGCTGTGCTGGGGTTCAAGCCCAGAGGCTCATGTTAGCCATAGCCTTGGCCCTGGATGTTTGTTATTGTAGCACAAACTAAGCTCTTCCACCTGACACATCTGCCCTGTAGAGGTAATGATAGCACACACACACAGACACACACACAGACACACACACAGACACACACACACACACACACACACACACACCAGAAGCTTAACAGAGTGTTTGAAATATTCCCTTCTTTTCTTCCCGTTTTTAGCTTTTTTTTTTTTTTTTTTTGTCTTTTTCCTTTTTATCGGTACCAGGGATCCAACTCACGACTGCCTGCTTACAAGGCAGGCGCTTATGCCACTGAGCTAAATCCCCAGCCCCTCTTTTTTTTTTTTTTTTGTCTTTTTGAGACAGGATTTCACCAAGCAGTTCAGACTGGCCTTGGACTCACTTTGTAGCCCAGGCTGGTCTTGAACTCTCACAAATCCTTCTGCTTAGCCTCTTGTGTGCTGGGATTGCAGATGTGCACCGCCACACCTGGGCTCTTCCTTTTTTTTTTTTTTTTTTAATAGTCTTTACCTTTTAAGTATGTGTGTTTGTATGTAAGGACCTATGTATGTGTATGGGTTTTGAGGCTGGGTCACTATGTAATCTAGGCTGGGCTCAAACTCACAGTCATCCTCCTGCCTCACCTCCCTGGGTGCTGGGATTTCAGGTGTGTACTGCTACGTGAGTGGTGCAGGAGGCAACAGATACATACACAAGTGACTCTGAGGTGCTTGGTGCTGCTTTACTGTTGGGGGGAATTCAGAGCTGGGTAAGGAGGGGGAAGAGTAAGATGTTTACTTACCAAGACTGGGCTGCAGGGAGCACCATATCAACCCCATTGGGCATCACTGAGGCAAAGAAAGGCAATAGCGGACTCACATGTTGGCTCCTATGGATGTCTAGACATGGCGGGTACCGATCCTGTTTCACTGGCAGAGACATCTCGTGGCCACATTTACTTCAAGGGACCTGTGAGGTCCAATTCTGTCAGGCTCATGCCCCCAACGTCATCGTGAAGACCACCATGCCATCCCCAGTCCAGTTGAGCTACTCAAAGGCCCCTCGTGGCAAAGGCTGCCCATCCACCCTCCCCATGAGCACCCACATGCACGAAGTAAGATGTTTACTTAGCAAAAATGAAGTCTGGGGGCTGGGGATTTAGCTCAGCGGCATAAGCGCCTGCCTTGCAAGCAGGCAGTCGTGAGTTCGATCCCCGGTACCGATAAAAAGGGAAAAGACAAAAAAAAAACAAAAAAAACAAAAATGAAGTCTGAACTAGACACATGTTACTTTGAGTTCTTCACCCAGAGCAGAGTGGTACATTTAAAAAATATTTTTTATTTACTTATTGAAGCGCTAGGGGTTGAACTCAGGGAGTGCTAAACTCTACCCTCAGACCTTTTTGTTTTATTTTGAGATGCAGTCTTGTTAAGTTGCTCGAGCTGGGTTTGAACCTGTGATCCTCCTGCCTCAGCCTTTGGTTATTAGAATTACAGGCGTGTGCTGCCACACCTGGCTGAGGGAGTGGTACATTTTGATAACAAGAGACTCTGCCATTTGACAAGTGTGTGCTATGTGCCAGGCACTGAATCACACAGGTCAGTTGATTTTCCCCTCTGCTCAGAGCCATAGTCACTACGATGTATGTGCTGTCTACTTAAAGATGAGAATACAGAGGCCATCGTGGTCCCCAAACCCACCCAAGGCTGTGCAGCCGATAAAAGGCAGAGAGGGGACACAGACAGAAGTGTGCCAACTCTTAACTGGCCTTCCTCTAGTACCTCCCGAAAGGGCTGAATTCCTTAACTCTGGAGCTATCAGTCTAAGATCGCAACCTGTGCTCCTCCCTGTGGCCTGAGAGTGGGGTTTGTAAAGTGCGGCTCGGGTAGTTATGCTCCTGCTCACGAACCCTCTGCGGCTCCCTACGGTATGCTAAGGTCTCGGGCTGGCTGCCTTCCCTCCTCCTCTAGCTACACCCATTCATGTTCCCAGGGCTTTTGTCCGAGGAAAACATTCATTCCCATTTTCTGAGGGTTTTGCTAAAGTCGTTTCTTCCGCTGCAGTGTCCTTTTGTGGTCTCCCCATCCTCCCTGCAAAGCTGAGCACAGTCCCTGGCTTGGCTCTCTGCCCTGTTAGAACAGAGACCTGGGGAGTGTGTGAGCTGATCTGGTCTGGTTTGAATGATGGGATGGGAATAGCTTTCCCTGGTATGCAGATATTTGCTAATGTTGAATATACAGATCTCCAGTCTTCCCATAAATGACACAGGAGTACTGTACATACACGGGAGGTGTACGCTGGCTGCTGTTCCTCACTGATGGCTGTACACAAAAACAAGACTTGGGGCCACGCTGGTGAGTGACCACCAGGAGCTGATGAGACTGGCCACTTCCTGGCTGTGTGACTTGGGCAAGTCTTTTGCTTTCTGAGTCCAGACTTTCCTGTGTAGGACATGGGGATTATCCTGGCACCCGTTTCACCTTAGGCAGGGCTCATTGAGGCAAAGCTTATAAAAAAGAGCTTATGAAGAGACTGCTTCCCAGATGTGCCCTGAATTCCAGCTCCGGAGGGGCATGCTGGGGCGTCCTGGGAAGGGAGAAGAGGAAACGGCCCCTGGTGACAGGGACTCTTCAGGTTAGTAGGCTGGGCTGAGACAATCCTAGTGTTTAATAGAGAAGGAGAGAGCTCTTCTCTGGCCAAGTAAATATTGCAAGAAAAGGCTGTCTCTAGGGAGCCGCTCTCCTCCTGCTCCCCCCTTGGGGCCAAAGTCCTCAGGGCCCAGTCTGGAGGTTCCTTTTATGTGACTGTAAAGTAATCCAGGCCCTGGCAGGGCCATGCCTGGGCGGGCACTGACGCGCAGGGCAGCATTGATATGGTCAATGATTACCTTTTATGCCTGACCATAAAGGACCCGCCCAGCACTCCGGACAATGTCCCTCAGACAATGCCCCAGGAGGGTGGGCATAGCGTGGGATGGGTGCACACACACACCTGTCCCTTGGGACCTGTTGCCTGCTATCCAGGTCTGTGAAGTCATTCTATCAAGGCATCCTGTCTCTCTGGGTGTCCCAAGTCAAACAAGCTTAGGTGACAATGAGCAGGGCCCAGTGAGGCTCAGAACACAGAAAGGCTGCATCCGGGGCTTATAGAGCTCCAGTCTGGGATGGGACCTGGCAGTTGGGTTGGATCTGAGGGGAGTCATGGGCAAGAAGGGTCTTTTAGGGTGGCTGGAAGTTCACACAGTCCTCAGTCCTTACTGACACCGGAGGACTCTGGGGCAGCTTGTCTCAGGGGGTCCTGGCAGGAATCTCAGTCAGGGGTCAGGCAGATATCTCTGCTGAGGCTCAAGCCAGCACTTGGGAGGGTCCAAGGCCTGCTGGAAGATCTGTGAGGCTGGTGCTGAGAAAAGACCAGGGCTGGGCCAGGGATGAAGCTCCACAGCATGACACCTGCCTGGAAAGAAAGCGCACAAGGCCCTGAGCTCCGTTCCTGGTACAAAAAAAAAAAAAAAAAAAGCCCGGGCTGAGCCTGCTGGTCACAGGGGCCTCTTGTAGGGCCCTTTCTCACTGCTGTTCTCGAAGCCTGCCTCTTGTCCTGGTGCACAGACACCCACCCATTAGAGTGCAGATGCCCAGCTGTGGGAGGCTAGGACCAGGGCAGAGATGGCCAGATTAATATTCTACCTCCTTGGCCGATAAGGCACAGAACCTTTGGCCTGATGAGAGGGGCTGGAGGAACAAGGCCCAGGGGCCTGGTCCCCGGTCTCCCCGCTGCAGGTGCCGTTGGCAGGGGCTTAGCTGGTAGTGAGGGTGGCTGCAGGAGGCTGAGTCCCAGCCGGGCTTGTCCTGGCCCTAGGCCCCTCTGTCTTCCTCCAACCGTGGAAAGAGGACTCCGGGCCCAAGCTCTTGGAGAGTGGTGAGGAGCAAACCAAAACCTTGCAAATCAGACTGTTGGTTTGGAGGAAAGAAGGTTGTTATTCTCAGTGGAAGGAGTCATAAATGCTCCTGACCCAGAGTGGAGTTGCTTTGAGCCTCAGCCAGAAGGCTCCAATCAACCTTTGGCTCTGATAAAGATAAGGAGAGCAAGGTGATAACACATAAGCCAGAAACTGTCAACAGGAGCTAATTAGGGCACTGGGTGCCGAGCCACTCCTGCTGCACCTGACAAGGAAAATCTCAGGTGGGGGAGGGGACGCGCTCGGCCTGCAACTCCACCTCATTGCCTTTCTGTCACCTCCTTCTTCCAACCCCTGCCCTCCCCCAGCCCCCACCTCATGCTGACTCACATAACGTGGAATCACATATATTCCAACCTCTTGCAATGCAACGCAATCGGCATGATGTAAGGCAGCGGGAAGAGACCAGAGCCGGGAGCTGCTGAGGCTGGATTCCAGTCTGGATTTGTAGGTTCCTGAGCTGGTCATTTTCTTCTGACCCTCAGTGTTCCTCTCCGTGAAATGGGGGTGAAAACAGTAGTTATGTAGTCCTCTCTTGCTGTGTCCCATCTGAGCCTGAGGTCTTCACTCTTCTGCTGTGAAATACTGCAATCCACAAAATGTGCAAAACATATCCTTGGTGCCACCCACTGCACAGGGGTGTTGGTGACACGGGACAGAGTCACAGATCTATGTTGCAGGAGAGGGAGGTCATGCGGAGGGCTTGGAGGCACAGACGGTTCCCAGGGCCCCTGGAATCCCTGTCTATCTGCCATCTCTGCTCAGAGCACTAGGGCTCTATTTTTAACTTGGTGCCCATTAAATATATGCAGTGTTGGAGCTGGGCCCAACGGCTCCTCCCCTCCCTCCTCTGTGTGCCTCCTCACCATATATACACATACCAAAAGGGCTGCCCACAGGCCACCCCAGGGGCTGAGCTGCACACTCAGCATTCCTGTGCAGGTTGGGCCTCTTTGGAGCTGGGGTTTGCTGGGGACACCTACTCCGTCTGTCTCCCAGCTTGAGCCCAGGACCAGTTCCCCTTCCCATCATGAGGTCAGAAAGCCCAGCAGATTCTGGGCACTTTTCCTTGGGATCCAGTAGGAGGACTACAGACAGTGTTGGGCAGAGACAGATGCAGGGGTGCAGAGGGGCCAGGAAAGGGGCTAGGGGTGGGTGAGCAGGAGAAAGGGTCGGCTGTGGCCAGTCACCCATGGCTAGCTTCACCAGCAGCAGACAGCTAGCTCCTCGTGAGGCCGGCTTGCCTGACTCAGCCACTCAGGCCCAGGCCCGGACCGAAGCTCGTACAGCCCCAGGATGGAAAGAGCAACAATCAAGTGCCTGGGGCTGGAGTCAGGTGCAGCAGAAGCCACTGCACAGTTCTGTGGCAGAGGCTGCTCCTGCAGGGCCAGGGGTAGTGTGGGGTGGCTGGGTTTGTGAGGAGCGGTCTCTGGTCTCCAGGAAGAATGCCCACAGTGTCCTAAAGGTGTGGGAGGGCTGTTTCCCGCACATAATGAGAGATGTCTCAGGGATCCTTGCTGCACGCACCTTGCTGTGAGGAGCAGATATGTGGAAAGCTCCATGCAGAGCCTGTCCAGGGCAGAGCTCCCAGTGGACTCGGTGGCTATGCTGACCACCACAATTGTGGTATGGAAGCTGGCAGGAAGCATTTGGGGCACAGAAAACCACATGGATTTGGAGGGAAAAGCCAAAGCAAATGACATACTTGGCCTAAGAGTCTGGTGGATCTGGAGGAAGTGAGAGTCTCTGCATGGGTGCTGGGGCAGGGACAGGGGCCGGTGTGTGTGTGTGTGTGTGTGTGTGTGTGTGTGTGTGTGTGTGTGCCTGTGCACAAGCCTGGGAGATAGAGAGCTGTAGGGCAGGGAGCCTATGCCAGGAAGCAGCCAGAACTTGAGCCCCTACCGAGTAGGGATTGTGCAGCTCTCAGGCCTCTGCTCAAAGCCCCAGGACACACAGATTCTCCTTCCAAGAGATCAGGAGGCTGCATCCTGCTCAACCCACTTCCTCTCCCTGACCTGCTTCCACCTCACCTGGTCAAAGAGAGGACAGCTCAGGTAAGCGTGAGAGTATACGTGTGTTGTGTGCACAGCACTTGTAAGGTAGAGACTGCTCTAGCCCTGCTGAAGTTCAGGTCACTGAGGAGCGAGGATCTGATCTCATCTGAGGTCCTGAAACCTAGATGGCTCCTTCCCACTGGCAGGCACTGGGCATCATTCTTTGATTGGTACCGAACATTTCCTGCCACCCAAACAGCAGTCAGGGCCGGGCAGGTTCAGGAGGCCTGGGACAGGAGCAGGCACAGACCCCCCAGGGAAAGCCAAGGCTGATGCAAGGACATCTGCTGGAACTGGGGCAGCGTGGTGAGCAATCAGGGCAGGGCCCGAGGTGCCAGTCCTGAGTAAAGCTGGGGTGTGGGCAAAGGATCCAGAACAGAGCAGCCTCTGCAGATGCCGCAGGGTGGAGAGAGACATCAGAGTGTGAAGTCCCAAGCCCTCACCGCCCACGGGCCGCTCCTGGACCCCAGGGTCACTCCAAGCTTTCTGGTCTCAAAATGATTCCTAGTCTGTGGATGGAATCACCATTGCAGCTGCAGGTGCCATGTGCAAAAGTGTCCCCCGAAAGATGGTGCCTTTGAGTTTCCCAGGAGTGTGTCCTGGGTTGGAGCTGGGTGGAAGGGGACGGGTAGGGGGTAGAATGTTCCAGGGTGGACCTGGACTAAAACCTCTTCCTGTGGGCCTGATGCTCAGCTATGGAAAAAATAGGCCACAGGGTGATGCTGGCAGCGCCAGGGTGAAGCAAGTTGTGTGTGTGTGTGTGTGTGTGTGTGTGTGTGTGTGTGGCATGGACTGGGAGTGACCAGGGCACCTCATGTCTGTGTCCCCAGTGCCAGGGATGTCACACAGCCTTCTCTCCTTCCCTCCTTCCCTCCCTCCCTTCCTTTCTCTTTCCTGTCTCTTTTTCTTTTTCCTTGTTTTTTTTTTTTTTTCTTTTCTTTCTTTTTTTGAGGCAGAGCCTTACTATTAAGTCAAAACTGGCCTTGAATTCCCTATGTGGTCCAGACTGGTCTTGAATTCATGATCCTCCTGCCTCAGCCTCCCAAATGGTGGGACTGCAGTCATACCACAGTGCCTGGTTCACCTTTTCTTATTTGGTTTTCTCCTTTTTGCTGCTGGGGATTGACTCAGGGCCTTTGCACTGAGCTACTTTCCTGGCCATTTTTAATCCTTTGACAGGATCTCACCTAGTTGCTAGTTACCTAGGCCGACCTTGAACTTTTAATCCTCCGGCCTCCCTCTCCCAGAATGCTGGTATTTTAAGCGTGAATCATTATGACCGGATTACTTTTTCTTAAAAAAAAAAAAAAAAAATTTTTTTTTTAAGAAGAGAGATTGCATAGTGTAATGGCTGAAAGTGCAGACTCAGGCCAGACAGTGTGGGTTTGAAACCTGATCACTGTCCCCTCCTAGCTGCTGTGTCTGGAGAGTTAGTTCAGTGGTCTCTGGGTCTCAGTTTCCACAACTGTAGAATGGGCATCGGCATGGTGTCTGCTTAATAGAGCTATGACAGTGATAAATGCACAAATACACGGTTCAGAAATGGCCTTCCGGAGTAAACACCGTGCAGGTGTGCTGCTCTCAGCTCAAGGAATGAAATTCCCTGTCAGCTGATCAGTTAGAGACAGGCCCAGCCAGGCCCAGGTTGGTGTGGAGCTCTGGTACAAGGGGGCGTGGCAGGCAGCCCGCATCAGCACATCCAAAGTCCCCTGACCTGTGGAGTTGGCAGAGGGCCTACCCTGGCACACCCTAGGCCCAAAGAACACTCTAGAAAAGTGTTCCCGAGGTGTCAACAGGTGGAGGGGTCAGGGGGTGCAGGGCTGGCCTGGCTGATGAGCCCTCGCTGGGCTGTGTGCCACGGCAAGGGGAGGAGTGAAGGTGTGAGGTGGCCTTGTGGGAACCTGAGGCTCAAGCATGTGTGTGTACCCTGCTGTGACCAGAACTCCGCAGCAGCTGGTCCACACTGCCCCACCTGGCACGGATTCCTGCCTGACTTCTAATGATTTCCTCCAGGTAGACAGTCAATCAAAACACACGTACCAGTGTCACACTAGCCTGAGAGCCTGCACATGCTGGGAACATCACTCTAGCACTGAGCCACCCAGGCCCAGCGTGAGGGCAGCTTCCCCACCCTTGAGGCGGCCAGAGCCTTGTGGGTTCATGAGGGTTGAGGGGTCTGGGCTGCCCCGTGCACACAGAGCAGGGGTGCGATTGGTTTCTTCTGTGTCTGTGTCGTGTGTCATGGGAGTGCGGCGTTCTGTATGCTCACCTGCGGCCAGTGAGCGTTGGTGGGCCTGTGCTTCCGCCAGTGTGGGGGTGTCTGTGTGGGGTGTGCTCCAGCTGCTGGGGGTTATCTTTACAGGTATCTGCCCACAGACCCTGCTCCCACCCTCCCCACCCATCCCGGGCTCACCTGCTCAGGTGAGCCCACCTGGTGGGATTCCCCACCTGCGCTTGCAGACGTGATGCAGCAGGAGGGGACCTGGCCGCAGGCGCATCTGTGGGCACCAGGCCAGGCAGGTGTTGGCCTCGCTGGAGCCTGGCCAGCAGCATGAGGATGGGGCTGAGGTGGGAGAGCCTGGAGCGGGAGCCCCCTTGGTGTGTGTTTCTGCCATCCCACCCCACTCTGCTGTGTCCCAAGCGCCTTGTCCCCCGTCCCCGCTTCTGTCTCTGTCCTCCGGCTTTCTTCCCATCTGTCCTTCTACTTGCGTGTCCACCACGTGTGGCCCTCCCCTCTGCCACCTTCCCCGCCCAGGCACTTCACTCTCCAGTCACCTGCGGAGGGCTGGGGACCGAGTCACACACCCACAGGTGACAGCTCCTTGAACACAGCTCAGTCCCTCAGCCTCGCTGCACAGGCCCGGCAGAGGCTTCTGCACCCCCATGGCGTCACGTGCAGCGCTCCTCACCAGGCCTGGAGGCAAAACTGGTCTTCAAGATGGCCTTGGCAGCCCCTTCCAGTGCTTCCTCGGTCCTTCTGTGCCGTCCCTGTGAGGCTCCTCTCCTCCAGGGAGGCCCCTGACCTCTGCCTGCATCCAGGGTAGTCATGTACAGGCTTTGGGGAAGCTGGGTTCCCTGCACAGGGATCAGTTACCCGCCTTGAGTTCCAGCCCAGTGTTAGAAAGCCAGGGTCCTTAGTCACCTCTCACACAGGACTCAGGCTGCTGCTAGCCCCGAAACATCCCCTCTCTAGGGGACACCTCTCCTGCCTGCCTCAGGCTGGGCGCCATCCAGCCCTGAGGGCCAGGCCTCCCCTGGGGCCGGGAGGGTGCAAGGTGGTGGGGTGTGGAGTTGTGCGGCTCTCATCTGCAGAGACCGAGCTGGGCTCAGCTGTGGGCACTGAAGAGAGGGCTGTGACCCTGCTAACAGCACTCTGCCCTCTGGAGGCTGTGGTCGCCCCAGTGAGACCCAGTGGCCTGCAAGTGCCAGCATATAGGTGACAGCATATAGGTGAGGGTCCTGCACACCAATGCGTCAGTCCAGGCCAGCCTGCGTGCATGCCAACTCGAGCGTGTGTCTTTTGAGCGTCGCTGGGGTCTGCGTCCCTGCAGGCCCAGAATTGGAGTATGTGTGGCAGCCACCTCTGGCTGACACCCAGGCGGGGGTGGGGTGGGGTGGGGCGGGGCTCTACTGTCAGAAATGACAGCTTGTAGATCTCCTGCTTAACTTCACACCTGCTCAGGCACCCCGTGGCCAGGGAGGGCC